CTTTTTGTTAAATTGTTGAAGTTTTATATATATATTAGTTACTAGATTTTTGTTGGATATATGTTTTCTGAAGATATTCTCCCAGTTGGTAGCTTGTCTTCACTTTTTTGGTAGAGTCTTGATAAACAAAAGTTTTAAATTTTTGTGAGGTCCCATTTATTTAGACTTTTGCTGTTTGTGTTTTGTTGTTATAGTAGTGTGGTAGTTTGGTTTGTGCGTCAGCTTGGCTGGGCCTGGTTGAGTGGCTGGGCAGCTGGTGATTAATCTCCATGAGGAGACTGGCAATCAACTCCATGGTGGGATCTACCACAAGCAGCTGGGTAGCTGCCTTTGGGTGTGTGGTCTGCTTCCTGTATATATAAGGAGAAACCTTTGGACATGGTCTCTAGCCTTTGGCATGCTTGGACCCTGCATGTAGCTGTGTTGTTGCTCAGCAGCCTGCTATGCTCTGCCAACCTTGGGACTTACAATGGACTTAAGTTAATGGCTTGCTGTGTGGTTTGGTAACATCGGGTCTGTGCCTTTTTACTTGTCAACCTTGGGGCTTCTCAGCCTCAGCAGCCAGCAGCTGTGTGAGTGAAGAAATGCCTCTAGCTCCAGTGGGCCAGGAGCAGGAGGCAGAGCTGGACCCCAAGGTTGAGGGGCTTTCACACAGCCCCTAGAGCCTGGCACTTGAACTTGGACTTAAAGCTTCCAAATTGTAAGAATAAACTCCTGTTTGTTAAGGTCATCCCATTTGTGGTATATTTCTCATCAGAGCGGCACTAGGTAACCAGAACAAGTAGATAATCCATTGTTGAAAGCTAAGCCTGACAGTGTTGTCCCTGCTTGTTCTGAGAATTTTATGGTTTTAGTTTGTACATTTATGTCCTGAAGCCATTTTGAATTTGTTTTTGTGTATGGTGTGAGGCATAGATCCTGTTTCTTTATTTGCATGTGGAAATCCAATTTTCCCAGCACCATTTATTGACAAGAATCTTCTTTCCCCCAACGAATGGACTTGGCAACTTGTCAAAAATCAGTTTACGGTAGATATTGTAGATTTGTTTCTGGACTTTTAACTCTATTGCATTGGTCTGTGCCTGATGTTACACCAGTACAAAGCTGTTTTGATTGTTATAGCTGTAGTATGTTTTGAAATCAGTAAGTGTGAGCCCTCCAACTTTGTTCTCTTTCAACATTGCTTTAGATAGTTTGGAGTTTCTTACCATTCCATATAAAGTTGAAGATTGGTCAAAAAGTGTTTTTTGAGATAGTAAACACTAAGATGCTTTCTTGAACATAAGAGCATTGAGAAAAAAATTAAATCTTCAAGTAAAAACTAAAATAGGAAGTATTTTGTAAGTAGAACAGTTCTTTGTAAACCAAGTCCTTTTTTTCAAAAGGGAAAATTACTATGAAAAAAAAAATTAAATCCCTTTGTCACTGAAAATTTCTGTTAACCTGCTCCGTGCTCCAATGATGGGAATGTATTTTTAAGTAACATCACATAAACAAAATGCTGTGTAAATCATCTAACACTTTTTAAAGCACAAAACATTTAATGATATTTCAGCCTCTTTAAAAATACTTTCAAACTATGGAAAGTGAGTAGATGGCGCAATGGGGCAGGGGCAGGGGCAGGGGTCCTTCTTGGTATGTCCTAACTAGGCTTGACCTGTGTCCATTCCCCACAGATACGAGGTATCAGCTAGGGCTGGGACTGGTGAAGGCGTAAGAGAGGACGTTGTGCTTCCTATCTACCTGCGGGAGCGCTGCCCAGCTCGAGAATTCAACAACTCCTACTATGGCCTGATGCTTTTTGGGCACCCACTCCTGCTATCAGTGCCCCGTGACCGGCTCACCTGGGATGCCTTGTATCACATCCTGTTGTACCGGCTCTCGTGAGTATGCCCTTCCTGAGGGAGAGGGGGACATGGAATCTGAGCTCAGACTTGTGTGGCTAGCTTCTTATTTCTTTCCTTCCCTTCCACATTCAAAGGACAGCTCAAACTTAACGTGACCATAGAGGAACTTGTAGGTTTTTTTCTTCTAAACCTCTGGCATCACCACTGTCTGTATTTGGTGCTGGGGATACAGAGGTACACAACAGACAAAATATAGACAACTTCATCTTTTTTTTTTTTTT